GGTGGCGAATTTCAAAAAAAACCTCGTTAACAACTTTGATCGTTAGGTTTTAGTACTGGTCAAGTATGAGTTTATTGCATTTCAAGTATTAGAATATGGGGTTATAAAAAGACAATAAACCTGGTTTAATGCAGATCGTTTTTCGTATCCCTTCTTGACAATCATTTCTGAATGTTGGTCGTAAATAAAACACGTTTAAGAACCTGAAAAAGCTGGAATGGCTTCAGGTATTGACTGGTTTTTTTGGTGAAAGCAAAGTTTTTTTCTATTTTTAACATTTGTAAAATACGGAATATGGTGGGGTGTTTTCTTATTTTACTTATTTGGGACTGAAGATATGTTTTGTAGTCTGAGCTTTATGGTATATTACTTCGTAATATTCTGAGGTATGTTTTGTGATAACTCAATGAACGTCTTGTACAGTACTGAACATATACCGCATTACCTTCATCTTGTGTACCACAAATTTCCCGCTATGGTATTGTTTGCCGTGCAGATGATACGGGGGATGAAAATCGTATTTCCTGTCTATTTTCGTGTTGATCCGCTCTCTTTGCACTCTTATGTCGGCATGGCTCATAAAAGACGACGACCGCACCCAGTGGTCGATTTTTTCAAGAAACTTTTGAGTAAAAACGTGTATCGAGGCTACAGTGATCAGGCGACTTCAGAATTGAAAACTTTAAAGCTTTACTTTTTTTTGTTTTTAAATAAAAAATTATTGTTATATTTGATAAAGGGGGTTTTATTACCAAGGCTTAGTAGTTGAATATCAAGTTAAATTTAAAACGCTACCAAATTAGCATCTAAAAAACTGTTTAATTTAATTTTCACAGCCTCCTAAACTCCGATTTACACACCCGTTCTATAATCGTTTCCTGAAGCCATGACCAGTGCGTTAAACCTCTTACAAAAGACGCTGTTTAGCCTCAAGTCACCGGAAATTTATGTCTCATCCGTTCGCCGGCTAATTCGCGCAATTTCAAGCTAATTTTGCTTTCATGTTTAGTGGATTTGACTTGTTTATGGGGTTTAGATTTACTTTGATAGTAGTCACGGTTTCGCTTTCAAATTTTTGAGTTTTTTTTTATTTTTTGAATTGTAATTTTGAAAAAAAAATTTTTTTGAAATTTTAATTTTTTTTAAATACAACATAAAATCTCTTTTATAATGTACTTTTGTCCACACCTTTCGTTTACCTAGTCTTTTTCTGTTTCTAAACTGTTCTCTTGGTAATGTGCCAACTGGCTGTCAATACCACCTGTGACCAATTAATGTATTTTAAAGGGAATGCCTATAAAAAGCACGGTGAAAAGACGTTATAATGTTGGCACATTATGGAACATTTGGTTCTTGAATATCTTGAGTCATTATGTAGTTATCTTCTTGGTATTCAAGGTTAATCTAGGAACGGTATAACTCACATTTCGCGCAGTTTTTCTGTCATTATTGCGGGTGGATGAGGAAGGTATACGTAGGGGTGGATGAAGAAGGTTTAGGTAGGGTTGCTACAGGTTTTGGCTGGGGTGGAAAGTTGAAAATTTCTTGTAAATTTTGTGATTTTTTCTTTTGCCACCTTCAAAAATATTACTAAAGCTAAATTTTCTCTACCTCAATTTTAATTCCGCATTACTCACTCTGTGATCCTCAAAGATATCTCTGAATTCCTCTAGATTCACACCTTCATAAATCGGTCCGTAAACGCGTTTATCCGCTTTTTTTAAGCGAACGGTCCGCAAATTATGCAAGATGCGTTTCCATATTGTGGGGGAAAAGGCAGGTGAAGATTGCTGATCTCAGGTGTGGGTGTGCGATTCTGTTTTTGAATAGTTTTGGGTGTTTTCTTTAGATTTTCATGTTGATTTTGATAACGTTAGGTTGGTGTTTTGGCATTAGTTTAGTCTTTAAAAGTTCATTAGAACTGAAGAGGCTAGAGGATTTTTTAACAGGATAGGGAGGAGAGGGCATATGCAAATTAGTACTAAATTCTTTCTCACTCAGCACTAGTGCTAAAACCTTCTTATACTAATACAAATAAACATATTAATCACTCATATTCCCTAATTAAAGACCTCATTACTTGAAATGTAAACACGACCCAGAAATTACGTAATTACCTGTATTCCCTATTCATTTTGCTCAGCGCTCAACATATGCGAATATTGTAATTCGAGAGAAGCTTCCAAAATAACTGTTGTACCTAAAGTCAACTGATATTTGATATCGGTATTGTTCTCGGAGATTTTTTGTTGTTTTCTCTTTGTTTTTGGTCTTATGTTGTTTTTGTTGTTATGTATATTTTGTTTTTGAAGATGCTTACACTACATTTTTGGTTGTTTTATATGGTTTCTGCCTTGTTTTGTTAGGTTGTAGAGTGAGGTAAAGTTAGGTTGTAGGGTGAGGCAGTGAAGAAGAAGCTTTAAAACGTTCTAGTTAGATCAAAAAGACGTCTTGTAAACGCTTGCATTGAGAAAAATCTAGTTTTTGGAGTTAAAATTTAGCCTCATTAGTGAAAATAGACTAGTTTTTACATTTTTAAGCTAAAAAATTAAAATTTGTATCTTTTTTCTACCTCAACACTCTTAGGCTTATTCTAATTACTCTTTGATTTATCTTATATTCGATTTGGATTGAGGGCGAGAAAAGTCAAGTAGCACTTGTTTTTCTTGGCCCTACGGCGATTTGCGGTAAAAATTTTGCGTGAAAATGGTGGACAAATATTGGAAATGGGGGATTTTCGAATAATCGGATTATTTTTTGACGTTAAAGAGTGACCAAGGCGTGAATCGCTGCGGAAACGAACTGTTCTTTTTTAAATTTAAAATTAAATGTTTTTTAAATTAAATTTTTATGGTTTTTAACGGCTTATTAAGGCTTATGACTACATTTTTTCTTAATTTTTTAGGCTTAAAAAGTGAATTTTTATAAAAACATTCTTAATTTCAAAAAACTTCTCTATCTCATGGCTTTTGTCCTACAATTTCACACTTGATTTAACGCTTTGTAAGCGAAACGTCAGATATTCAAAGAAGTTTGGGCCGTTTTCTTTAAAAGTGCGAGAAGCGGCAATTTGTTCTAGATTAACGGGATTTGTTGGGATCAAATGTTAAACAAAAACCAATAAAACATGTTTTTCGAAGGGGGTTTGGGTTGGATTTTTTAAAAAACATTTTGGGATTTTAGATGTTAAAATGAAGTTTAAAAATCGTACTAAAGGCTTAAATAGGACATTTTGATGGTTTTTATATGGGTTTTTTTATTTTCAAGGAGCTTTTATAATATAATATGTTGATTTTTTTGGATTTCGGAAGCATTTCATGCCCGGTTTTTGATTTTAAAAATTTTTTGTTATTTTATTTTTAAAATGTTGTTTTAGGCTTAGAATAGCTTGGTCTTTCTTAGTTTTTTGCCAACCTTTTCCTAATAAGCCCAATCCAATCTGTTGCTTATTTCTGGTCGATTAATCCAATTTTACAACTATATTCTCCACAATCTGCCTAATTTACGGCGCTGACCTTGCGCATTACGTAACGTGCCAAAATATTGTCCATAAACTAGGAATTATTACAGTCCAACCCCATTGCGCAATGATTCACGCTCTTTGTTTTTTGGAATTTGGCTGTTTTCGAAGATTTTCAGCCAAAACAGGTGAATGGCCGTGTAGTGACGAAGCTGGAATTGGGATGAGGAATGGGTTTGAAAGGTTTTGGGAAAGGTTTTGTCCGAATTTTGCAAAAATCAGCGTTTTGAAAGGGGGAAAAGGTTGAGATGTCATGAGAATACGGTGTGAAGCTGTTGGTATTGGGCTGGGACAAGAGTTTTTTTTGATGAGACAAGGCTTATTTTGTCACAAAAGTCAAATTGTCAGAATTAAAAAAGCATGTGCAGTCAAACTTCTTTATTAATTTTAGTTGACCTTGTTTTTTTTCTGGAAATTACACATTTTGTGAACATTTTACTGCGGGCGTTCGTTTTTTACACGGTAATTTGATTTAGAGCTATTATGTACTCCAAATTAGCGTTTGTTTTTCATTTTCAAAATGGTTTGAAATGCTGAATCGTTTGGGTGTTTCTTAAAATGTAAATTTTTATTTTTTTAAATTTGTATTTGTTAAATGAAATTTTAAGTTTTGGCACTTTTTTAGAGTAAAATACGGTAAAAAAATATTTTAAAAATTAAACTTTTTTAAATCCAATACAAAAATCATTTGATTGTGATCAACTTTGCTAGGTTAATGTCGCATCGGGAGTAGATTTAGTGGGTTTATAAAAATGCATTTAAAGATTTATGGGCTTCTGCGGGTACAAATCACTTTAATGCGAATTTTGAGGTCACAAAACCGACTGAAACAACAAAATATGTTGAGTTATGTTACTTATGTATCTGGATGTCACTATGCTTTTTTTGTGAAGTGGGATGCGGGGGTTGGTTGGGGGGTTAAAAAATTTTTTGGTAAGGAGGGGAGGTTTTTGTTTATTTTTGGGATTGATTACGAGGCTGAGGCAAAAAAATACAATAAAAAGCTAATAAACGGTTCAAAAAGACAATGGTGACATAGAGCTGTGATGGATCGGAGAGATTAACAGTTATGCTACCTAATTAATCATTTATGACATGATTTCTGGCTTCAATTTGTGATAATTTGTCTTATTCTTTAGTCTTGATTCTGGACTTTTAAATTGGTAAAAGATTGGGGTTTGTTAGTCTTGTTTTTGTATTATAACTTGTTGATTTTATACTGTAACTTCAATTTTTGGCATCTTTTTTTTTTACTTTTTAGCCATCTTTTATAACTTTGCGCGTATCATCTACGAAAACTTGTTTAAAAACCGTAATCTTTAGAACGTTGCCCATTCAAACTCGTCCTCAATGTTCGTTATAATATAAAACTAAATATTCTTTTGTTGCGAAAAGAACGGCGCCATAATTTGAAAGCCCAAAAACGTGGTGCTTGAATGCGAAAACGCAGGAAAAACCTTATTGCATAAGAACGACGAACATGGTGTTTGGAACGGTGTTGAGTTTGACCACGACACTGTCGATGGCATGTATTTACAATCCGGCACAGTGCCCTAACGGAAGTACGAAGTGTTGATTAGTTTGTTTGGAGTTGATTTTTAGGGGGTTTGCTTAATTTTTATGGCCAAGAAAGGTTCAAAAATGTTAAAAAACGTCAAATAATAAGGTTATAAAGGACAACATATATTGCAATACTTGAAAAATCAAAAATTGAGGTACATAAAGACAAGGTTTTTTAAAAGAAATTAAGATTTTTACAACTTATCATTGCTTAAAATTGGGTTAAAATAAAGCTTTATGTATCAAAATGCTTACCTCAATATAGACAAAAATTTAATTTTTATGAATTTCAGCATCAAACGCCGTCCCACCGCCTCAAATCACATACGGACCATCGAATCAGACTATACTAACACATGAGGTAGCTATTCTACCATGTCAGTTCACTCCAGCACCCCCTGGCCGTGATCCACCTAACGTTTCTTGGTTTCACAACTCGATTCCAGTTGATCGTGGGAACGCTCGCTACAGCGTTTCGCCCAGTGGAACGTTGAAAATCACGGATTTGAGGTAGGTTAACGTTTTTTTAATTTTGGTAGTCAATTTTTGAAAAAAATTATTTTTTGAATTTGTAAATTTGAAAAAAAATTAATTTTCAATTTTTTTTAGTTTTTTAAATTTTAGAAATTTTTTTGTTTAAAAAAGCTTTTTAAATCCCATTTTTAAGCTATCAAAAGCTCAAAACCCTATGAAAATGCTATATAATTTTGAACAGCTTTGGCAATGTCTTTTCCTTTCAAAAGGCTTGGCCCAACTTTATGGCCTAAAAACAAAATATCGAGAATTTATAACGGTTTTAAAGGTTTTATGCGTTCGACTAAAAATCATAGAGTAGATAGCTCTGAACGTTAATGGAACATCTGCCTTTGGAGTAAAGATTTTCTCACTTTGACAAACGTTTTCTTTGTCAAAGGGCAAGGCTTTGGGTGAGATTTTGGGGGTATTTTGGCAGGTTTTGTTGATTTACATTTGGCTTGGTATTTTTGAGGGTTTTGGGTGGTTTTTTATAAAAATCTTCAGTAAATAAAAAAGTTTTTTTTTTTATTTTTTCAAAATTATTTTTCAAAAACTTTAATCAAAACGACTAATTTTGTAATAAAAACATAAAACCTTTTCCAAATGCCTTTCCAAATCACCAAAATGCCATATTGCTGAAATGCCAAGAAATTTAATAAAATCAATCTGAAAAAGTCATGTCTTACAACCAAAACGTCTTCTTGATCTAACCTTTGATTGATGCCAAATCTCAAAACCTGATTTGAGCTCATTTTTTATATCTTGCCACAAAACAAAATAGCCGACAGATGTTTCATTGCGATTCAGCCACAAAAACAAGCAAATGGGAAAGATAGGGAAATGAAAGACGATCGGGTGGTTTAGCTAGCGGAGGTCTTGGGAATAGTTAGCAGTGGGGGTGGTTTTTTTTGTAATAGGTAAAATACGGCTTGCGATCTTTTCACAAAAACATCTTTTTTGATAAATTTAATTTTTTAAAATTTTTTTTGCACGGTGCCGAACTCTCAAAATTTGCACGGTGCAGCGACTTCGTACAGTTTGAAAAATTTCTAGGATTCCATAAAGAAAAAATTTTTTTTTTGAATTTAGATTAACATTTTTAATGCTATGGTTATGCAAATCTAAATTCTACAAAATATGTTTGTCCTTTTTTGAAATTCCTAATTTTAAGCCCAGTTTACGCTTCGTAAAATTCACGTTTTTTATTGTGTTGTATGCTTGTTTGCATACAATACCATTGAACCTCCAAGGTTATTCAAATTGTATTTTTTGGAATTCGAAACAACTTTATGTTAGACCAGTGTTTATTTACGAAGCTAATGTTACTTTCAGTGCTATGTTTATAACTTTTAAAATTTTTTGACACTTCCGAGATCAATTTTTCGACTTTTTGATTGAAATTTTATAACTTCAAAAAACAGTTGATTATTTTTAAAAGTGCAATTGGAGAAGTGTTAGTTAGGACAAATTATAGCGATTTGAAAGTAGGGTTCTTGGTCGTATTGCCTCAAATTTTGGGTTTGTGTAAATAGTCTTAATTAAGCTTTATTTGAGTTGATTATTGTCTATTTGTCTAGGGAACAAGACGTTAGGTTTGCAGCCTTGGGAATATTAATAAAGACTAACGGTCAATCTCAAGACTTTATTATTATGGGTATACGGAAGTTGTTTGACTTTTTTGTATTGTATGAACGTGGTAACTGCCTTATGCTGGAAAACATGAAAATATTAAGTTTTTCAATTAATTTGGTGTTTCTTTCAAAAAAAATTTTGGGGTTTGGGGCACAGAATTATGTGAACATACATAGAAAATTTAGTATTTTGATTATATTTTTCGGTTGTTTGGACTTATTATAGGTCTAAATGTTATACTATAGGATGTTCAAATAATTTTATGCCTCCTAACACGAACATTTGTTTTGACAGGGAGCACAGAATTATTTGAACAATATAATAACTTAAGTTTTAAAACCATGCTCTAAGTTTGTCACTTTCTACAAACTTTTTAATCTCTGTTTTGTCTTATTTTGGTCCTATTCTTCTTTCCTGATAGTTACAAAACGACTTGAAACCAAGCCACTTTCGTATTCTTTGTCCTTTATAAACGTTTTAAAACCGTTGCAAAAGTGGGACTTTGGTTTATTGAGTGAAAAAGGGGGTTTAAGGCCGGGTTTGTCGCGAAAAGTTTTGGCTTTTTAAATTTTTTAATGCTTTTTTGTTACGCATATTTTGGCAATAATTCTTGGGTTTGTGGCTGAAATTTTTTGATTTTTAAAATTTTAAAAATTAAAAAAATTTTTAATTTTAACAAGCTTTTTTGAACAAGATTTTTAAAAAACTAATTTTTATGTTAGCAATTTTAAATTATTTTAGATATCAAAATTGTTCAAAAATATTGTTTTACAATTTTATCTATTCAAATTCATAGCGCCTATAGAAAATATAGAATACGATCGATTTCATCGCATTTAGAAACATTTTCTTCAAAAAACAATATCGCTACCTTTTGTCGGTGTTTGCTCGGTAATGGCGATACAATTTGCATTGAAATGCCACACTCTTATTTGCTCACCTTGATACCTGCGCATTAAAATAATTTGTTTTGAACGATCGTCTTCCTTTTTTCGATTTCTTTATCGGCAGGGTAGTTTTTTTGGTTCTAAGAGGATGAGCATTAGTAGAAAGGGTTTGGCATGATGTCTAGTACTTTTTGAAAGTGAACTTTGTTAGAGTAAAACTTTTGGTATAACGAACTCCCCTATAACAAAATATTTTTTATTTTTCTTTACTTCTATTTTCTTCTATCTCGACAATAATTTTATTTTGGCACTTGTCCACGCCCTCTTCCCCTCTCCCACTCTCTTTCTCTATTAGGCGGCACGAACGCGCTTCCGCATCCCCAAATTTGGTAATCTCTTAACCTCGAAATCGTTTGTCTTCATCGGTTGTTCTTTCTCTATTGCGACGGAAGTGTTCGACAACGTAATTACATTTGGTTCTATTCTTCTGTATTAATTAGACCGCCGAATTAATGTATCAACTGGTGTCAGGCTAGGCAAAGATTTGGCACGCGCTTTAAGGATGTTTTTAAGAGGTTTAGGGGAGGTGGTCGGGACAAAGGATTATGAAGTACGGAACAGTCGGGTTAAACATGAGTTATTAAGAGGGGTTGTTTATATTGGAAATGAGCTGGGTTTGGGTTTATGATCTGGTCTGAAGTTATAGTTAACATAGGGTTATACTTCTTACAAAAATGACTTTCTATTTTTAAGCTAAGAGCTGATTGAACCTCAGAACAACATAAGTTATGCACTTCATCTTACTATAAAATGCCCGCTAATTACAGCCCCTGCTCCTCCGTTCCGGCTTTTTCAAAAATATTTTTAATTTGGGCCATTTCCGGTGGTCAGAAAAGGATTTGCCGACTTTTCACAGGTTTTCTCTTACTTTTTCTAGTTCTGACAGATTATACTGGGATTTGGGCGCGTTCTAGCCAAAACTTGATCTGAACGGAAAACAAGGGCGAGGGCTGTGCAGGTGTAGGGTATCAGCCTTGTATGCTTTTTGTTGTTTTAGGTGCGTTTTTCTTATGGGAGTTGCTTAAAGTTGAGTTTTGGAAGCAATAGGGGGTGGTGTTTTTGTAGGATGAATAACTTTTTTGATGGGGAAGGTAGGAAAGCTAAGTTTGGGTCAAGTATAGCTTAGTATATGGCGATTCTTTAGTTTATGTTTTGTAGTTCTAGCTTAAATATTGAGATAGTTATAACTTTTTGAAAAATATGAAAAAATTTTTTATAATTTTTAAAAAATTTTTAAAATTTGCTATTTTACGTTATTGTTGTGTATTACTGACCCATACAATAATGCCCTCTATGTGAAGGCAAGACTCTTTTAAAGGGTCGAGTGATGGGTGCGGCGTGTCATCGCCTATGCTCGGTCTCTTTGTCACTCTCGGCACCTTTCGACTCCCTGCTGCGGCGAAGCGAATGCGCTGCGGTGCGAAACGGAAGTGCGTTCCAAACAGCCCCTATGGTGTTTAAAGTGGCATTTGGGGCTGCAAAAGTGGCAGTTTCTGAACTGTCAGATCAGTCGATGATAGGCAGGGGTCGAAGGTGAGGAAGGGTATGGTATCTTGATTTTTGTGGGGAAATAGGCTGGAGACTTTGTGGGAAAATGGGCAGAATGATAGTGTAAGCTGTAGGTCTTCTTATTGAGGTTTAGCAAGGTTTTGTAGGAACTTTGTTGCGATTGTTAATTTGATTCTAATCTGATTTGTCATTCTCTAACAGATCGATGAATATTTTACTATCTTTAACTCTATTATACTATTTTAAACTCTCTTTCCCAAGCTACGTCTTCTCGATTCATGGTAATAAAACTAAGCTTGACCAATTGTTTTGACCCTTCAAAGCACCATTAATTTCACGGCTCATCAAATTATTTTGACTTTAGGGCTACTTCTTGACACTTTTTGCAATTTATGATGGGCCTTTGTTGGTCATTTTGTAAAGAGCAGGCTTAGTATCGGATTACGCCTCGTTTTTGAGAGAATTTCTTGTGCTAATTAGTCGGACGCGTCCGCATTCTCTGTCATAGATACATGGGTCAGGTGCGGTTAGGTTTTATTATTATGTTTTGGGTTAGATGGTCGAACTAGAAAGATATATTGAACTGTTTATAGTGTTTGAAAAGAGCTGTATTTTGCTTTTTTTGGCATTTTCTTTAAGTTTTTTGCCCCTTCATTTGATCATTTTAGCTATATTGATCTATTAGTCTTTGCGTATCACATTTTAGATGAAAATATGGCTTAAAATACGTTTCTTACGATCTTGTAGTACCTTCTATACCTTCTTTAATACCTCAAAGAACCCTTTGTTAGTGTAATTTTGTTTCGTTTTCTTTTTGATTCAAAGCTCGGCCCGAATAATTAAAATTAATTCAGTGAAAGGTATCTAATATCTTGGGCTTTTTCGAGGGCATTACACAAAATGCAAGTGGAAGATTAGTAGTTTCGTTAAATTAGAAGGGTTTCGTTTTGCCTCTGGCCTATTTATTACTTTTCTGCGACTTAATTGGCATCTGTTGGGTTAAGGTGGCCATAGCTACGTAGGATGGCTTGAAGTGCGTGTTTTGAGCTAGTTTGAGTAGAATATTTGGTTTTGACTCTATCTAGATAAACTCATAGAACAAAGTAATAGTACTGTGTGATTCTATGAGTGGTATTTGAGAGGTTTGGGGGATTTCATGTTGTTTTTTAAAGTGGCAGAATTGAGTGTGATACAATTTTTAGTGTACTTGTACTGTAAGTTATTATTAGTGTTATTGATATAGAACTAGAGACAAAGTTTTATATACTTTTTGATAAACACATTTTAGTAAAAACACAAGTACTATAGTACGAATTATGGCTTCATACTCACGTATAGCGAAAGCAATATTCATAAATGCCAAAGTAGCCTTCTGCTATTGCAATTTGAAGCATTTGAATCAAAAAGCAATAATTCAGGGTCATTTTTTTGCCGAAATATAAAAAATAGTAATACGGAATAGTAATGAACAATATAAATATTGCGTCCATAAATATCTCCCAAAAATGGTCTTTTTCGGCGTCCAGGAAATGAGATGGAAAGCGGCTATTTCGGACAGGAATTTTTTTTGAGACTTTGTTTCAAACTAAATGTCAAAACGGGCTCTTAAGGGGTTTAAATATTTTAAATAGGGGCTGGAGGGCAGGGTTTTGAGTGAGGGAGGGCAGCCAGTAGATAGAGTAGAGCCATGAGGATAGGGAGGTAGCTTATGAAAGAGAAGGGAGAGTTATGAGGGTAGGCAGCTAGATTTTATGAAAGTTGAGAGACTGATGAGAAAAAAAATGATATACAGGACAGTTTTTGGTTTAGACTGAGGGGTTTTGGCGAGAGTGGACAATGGCTCAAGTATGATGTTTCTATATAATGGCTGTGGCTGGAAAAAGGGGATATGAGTCATCAAATTGGCTTAACAATCGAACTGATTTACGAAAGGATTTTTTTTTGTTTTTGTGATAAATAAATTACTTTTTCGATCATAATACACCAAATTTGGGTGTGATATTTGGCTTATTACCCAAATTTGTATCTTTTGTTATATTAGGTTGTTCACGTAATTGTGTGCCTCCTAACTTTTAATTCATCATTTTTGATTTGATAGGGGGCACAGGATTATTTGAACAACCTGAAAGGTTAAGTTTTAAAATTATAAGGTCAAAATTGAAAATAAAAATAATTTTTGCCACTTTGAAAGTTTATTTGGGTAGCCAATTTGCTCTCTTCTCGGCTTCAGTTTCCTCTCTTCCCAATGTCCATTCTCCTAACTCGTAGTCTTCTTCTTTAGCGCCGGAATTAAGCTGTGCGCGAGAAATAAAAGTTTCAGCAAAACAGTAATTGGATTTGTTTGGCGTGACCAGCTTTGCTTGCAAAATTCTTCTTTATTAGACAAAATTTGTGGGGAAAAAACGCCGAGTTTACTTTGGGGTTTTGGAGGGTAAAACATCCTTACTACCTCAACTAGTAGGGGGCATGGTAACTTCGTTTCTCATAGTATTTTTAATTTTTTTAAATTGGCATTTTTGATTTGAATTAGTGACTAATAAACGTCTTTTATGATGTGTTAACAAAGCTCAAAATTATATTAAATGTCAGAACATGGGTCAAAGTTAATGTCATAAAGAAAACGCAACTCATTCTATCTTATCTGACCTAAACGAAACTTCTGGTCAAACCACTTTAAGATGGCAAAGTGCCATTACACAATTAAGGTATTTACTCAAAAAGAGATACCGCAATCAGAGTTGGGAATGTCAGATCAGACGCTCAATAAGAAAAGGAACTTGACTGTCATAAGGTTTTGGCTTGTTTTAGATTGGCTTATCTTTAAATGGGTTATGCTATAGGGAAACTAAAAGTTTTTAATAAGGGCTATGGGTTGAGAAATATTTTTATGTTTTATATTGTAGTATGAATGGAGAATTGAAGGTACAAATCAAAAAAAATTTTTAAAAAATTATTTTTGAAGATTCCACTGCCATTTTTGTACACCCCTCAATCCAAAAATGCCCTTTTTACAAAACAACCCCGCCATACCCATTCAGCTCATTAAAATCGAGTAAAATTCGCACGAATTTAGTCAGACCATGATTAATTGGAGGGAATTTCGATGAGGGCGGTGAGATAAGGGCAGGGTTTGGCGTCTTCCACGAAGGTCGAGGCGAATGTAAGGATACCTGGGTTTCGTTTTCAAAAAGTCGCGCCGAATGTTTACACAAGCAGGCTTGGCAGCGGGGCTTTTTTTAGGGTTTGGGAGGGGGTTTTTATGTTTGGAAGGGGGTTTTTGGCAAGAATGATGGGGATTTGGCATGTTTTTTTGATTTTACGGAAGGTTTAGGGAAATGTTAGTTAATTTTTTTCAATTTTTGTTAGGGGTAGATGTTTAAAATACACTTTAATGCCTTAAAAAACAAGATCTTAGCTTCAAAAGTTCTGCAGAAAACGGTTTTTGATATTACAATAATACAAACTTTGCCTTTTCAAACTCTCTGACGTATGCAAAATTTATTTTGGAACACGAAACCCCCCTAAATTGATGAGTTTTCTCAATTTTCCTCCTTTTCTTACAAAAAATTGGCCTAATTTACATCTTTCTTCTTCTTTTGGCCAATATTTTGGTGGATTCCGTCTTTAGAATACACAGACCAAGGTTATTTACAGCTTTCTACTGCAGATTAAGGTTAGATATTTTTGTTTTCTGCTTACTTTTTGGTCGAAAAATTGGTTGAAAAGGTTGAGTTGGGTCGAAAAGTTGGTTGAAAAGGTGGTATTTTGGTCGAAAAATTTGTTGGAAAGGTGGTAATTTGGTCAAATTAGGGAATTTTCTTGATTTTAATAGAGTTTTTGACCAGATTAATGCAAGTTTAGGGGGTTTCTAAGAACTTTTTGTAAAATATAACCTAATGTCTAAACCAGCTAATAACCCTTTTACAATATTTTCAAAAACAAAGTCATCCCGGTTGCTCCACTCCCCTATGCAAGCATTTTTTGCTCCACGAGTATTGTTAAAACAATTTGTTTAGGAGAGTCAAGTGTCTTCGGCCACAAAGCCTCAGGGCTTCTCAATTTTCGTGTGAGCGTTTTATTTATATTGTAAAAGTGCACAAAGTTGTAGTAGTGTCAATTTAATGTTGAGAGGGGGATTAGATGTCATGCGGTTATGTTACGGAGTTGTGGTCGGGACGTATAGCATAGTAATGTATAGGTCAAAGGATGGTTAGTGCAATATAAAAAAAGTTAATAGTATATTATATGGTTTTTGAGGTTGACATTGCAAGATAAGGAGCATGAAGGCGTGCTATCGGTTTTTAAAGTATTTTGAATTTTTTTTGTGATGCAAAAAGAATGGCGTGGTTTAAAGTGACTTGACATTTTTGGTTTAGCAATGCCATTCCGTTTTCGATAAAACTGTTTTTTTTTTTGCAAAATTGTGGTTTTTTGGTCAAAAAGTTTATAGAATCTGATTATTTTTGCTTTTTAAACCCATTTTTGAAGATTAGTTAACAATATTTTGCTAAAATAATTAAAACCCGAGGGTTTTGGGCATTGTTTTAGATGTATTTTAAACATCTAAAACAATGTTATTTCAAGAATTACTAGAACAATGTCGCAGCAGCCGCCTAATTGTAGCCTTAAAAAACAAGTGGACATGTGTAAAGTCGTTGACATGCCCTTGTCTCGCTTCCTTAATGGCACTCTATAACAAGCCAATTTGCAGGCTTGAGTGGACACTCACGGCCATTAAAGCTCGATATTCGGATTTATTTTGAATTTGATTCGCACGAGGGGGATGGAAACTAAATTTGGGGCAATGGGCTTTGTATTTGTTTTGTTTTAGTGTGGGTATGATGTATAGTATGAGCGTTATTACTTTCAAAAAATGTTCTTTTTTTGGTAAAATACGTAATGATGGATCTGAGTAAGGCATAGATATGTATACATTAATTCAAAAATAAAAAAAAATGTTTTGATATCTTTAAATAAGGTTAAAGACATTGTAAAACCTGTCGGATCGAGAATTTTTTAAAATTTAAAGTATTTTATTGAAAGTTTTTAATGTTATGTTATTTCAGCAAAGAAGACGCTGGAAATTACACCTGCCAAGTGGAATCTGAATACGGCTACAACTCTTGGAGCGGATATCTCCAAGTTGAAGGTAATATTATGTTTCTTGTTCTTTTGACGTTTTATTGTAAAATACGTTGGTTTTATCTAGGGTATTTATACACTTTTAAATTTAAAAAATGTGTTTTAATTTTTAATTTAATACTTTTGTTTTTTACATGACTATGACACGATTATATTGACTATGACACTATTTTTTGACTTTAAATTATAAAATTATATTTAAAATTCCAAAATTCTAGAGCACAACAACCCCTCCGCAGTCTTCGAAAGGATGCCAGACCGATCCCAACTGCCGGCTGCTCCATCACAGCCTCGAGTCAATGTGAGACGGCCGAATCAAATCGACATTGAGTGGGATCCACCATCGAATCATGGAGCATCTCCAGTCACCCACTACACTTTACAGTACTGGAACCCTCATCCTGGCGCTAAAACGGTGGGTTTTGGGACTAAATGTCTTGAATTTTAGCGATTTTTTGTAGCGCGCCGTTCTTTTTGCATCAATTTTGTAAATTTGATTTTTTTGAAATTATGAACTTCCGTTGTTTTGCAGAATTAAAATTTTATTTTTCAAAAGTTTTAAGGGACGCGCCATTCTTTTTGCAGCACTTTTTAAAATTTGATTTTTTGGAAATTTTTGTTTTATTTTTAAAAAATATTTTATTTTGACATTTTAGACGTGGACAACGGTAAACGATCGTATCAATGGCCTGAAGTATCGAGTGGTCGGTGTCCAACCAGGCCAACAGTACTTCTTCATTGTCCGAGCGAATAATGCACTCGGAATGGGAGAACCTTCTCCCATGAGTCAAATGGCATTAACGTATGCTGGTAAGTCATTCTTTTCAAATTGAAAAAAAAACATTTTAAAATTTTTGATAATATTAAATTGTTCAAATAATTCTGTGCCTCTTAATACGAAAATTTGCTTTAATATGACTTTTTTAAATCTTAAAGATATTCTAAATGTTACCTATTACAGATCAAGAACCAAAAGAATCCACGACTCCAGAAACCACCGTGGCTCTCCAAAAGCCAGTCCGTCTTACTCATGCCAAGACCATCAACTCCAGCACCGCCTTGTTAACCTGGAGCAATGGTGAAGGTCTCAACAACGATGGCTTCTACCTAACCTGGCGCGGCCCTCCGCTAGCCAATGGCGAAACTATCATGAACATTACTGAGCCTAAAGTATCGTCCATCTTGGTGAACGGACTGAAGCCTTACAGTACCTACGACTTCTTCCTGATTCCATACAAGAATCAGATGAATCTGTCACCGTCGAACTCGATCGAGTTGAGGACGCCAGAAGGCATTCCAGACCCACCAAGGAATGTTTTTGCCCGAATGGAGAATCTGACTAGTGTTCTGATCTCATTCGGACCTCCTTCTGACATCAGAGGCATTCTGAAGGGCTTTGATATTCAGTTCACTGATAACTCAAGTGACTATGTTAACACTATCAGAACGAGAGCGAATGCACGATCGGTTACACTCAGGAATCTGACTCCGAACAAGAGTTACCAAGCTCACGTAGCTACACTGAATGGAGAAGGCAGAAGTGAATATGTCAGCACGGAGTTGTTCACTATGAGTAGGTTTTTGGATATTGATTTTCAATTTTTTTTAAATTTTGGTTTTTTTAGTATGAAGCATGTCTTGAATAACATAATTAAAAAAAAAAGATAAACATATCTTTTTCAGACGAAGCCACCCTCTTCAAACATCATCAACAGTACGGTCGCCACGAATCCACCGTATCACCGTGGAAGGTCGGAGCTGGTGCAGGCTTTACTGCCCTGATCTTGGTCTTCTTTGCCATGATTGCCTTCTGTTGGTGCCGCTACGGAGGCAACAAGAAGAGAAAGAACTCACTCAGACATCGCCCACCATCCACCGACTTCATCAAGATCAACGATGGATCTGTAGCGACGGGAAGAGAAGACTACTGGCCAGAATCTGCCATGCCCTTCCACATCCCACCCCCACCACCCCCGCCCAACGGACTCAACCATCAATGTAGCGGAATGACCGTACACAGTCATATGAACATGTCATCACCACGATCAGCCCACTACTTCCATCATCATCCTTGTTGTGCACCACCAATGATGAATGCCTACGGTACTACAGTACGTCCACATTATGCAGGACCATACTGTGCTGGATCCTCAACATTGGGCAGAGAAGAAGGACAATATCACTATGCAGTACTACCGCCAACCAGTACTCTTCCCCATCATGCTACCATGGTGCACTACGAAGATGATCCAAGCCCATACGCTTCAACTACAGTAACCAGCAATGGCTACGGACCCACTCTACCATCAAATCCACCCCCAATGTTTGTACCACAGCAACTTCAACAAAAGTTCATGAATCCACCAAACGGATCCATCAGACGGACGGCTACACAACCAGCCCAGTCCACTCAATCCCAACAGTGTCAACAAGGTCGACGGACGCCGAGAACCAACCCCCACTTCTTCAACGATCCCCCCGCCCCAGCCCCACAACAAGATAACATGGAGTTGGGCCGGATCTTGGCTCAGGTCCCACCTCCACCATTACAGCAAGGTCAAACCTACGACTCGGTCACCGAGGATTTTTTAGCCATGCCCAACTACAAGGAGGAGGGACCGCCGGAGGAGGAGAGGAACAAGGACCTGCCCAACAGGACCACCAACTCCAGGAGTCCACCCAGGAATAGGAATGGTAAGATAATGAAGAGTTTTGGTTATGGGGGTGGATAATATAATTTTGGTTAGAAAAAAGGTGATTTTTGGTATGAAAGGGGTGGATAATGTAATTTTTGATAGAATCAGGGATTTTTCTATTTATCAGGGGATGGATATTATAATATTTTTTTAAAATTTGCATAAAAAACGCATTTTATGTCAAAAAAATCTGAATTTTTTAAATTTTAAATTAAAAAATTGAAAATACAAATTTTAACTTTTTCAATTTTCAGGCACGGCCGAAAGCGAAGAGCGTTATCTTCTGAATTGAACCATGCCCACTACGAATTTGGTCACAGTTTACCCTGCCCACTCAGTTAATTCGGTCTCAACGTTCCCACGTCCATGAACACTGGTACTAGCCATTAATCTTATTGTAGTTGTAACATTTATCTCGTCGCATTACGGGTCTCTTTCTTAACCTTTCCAATCTTGCAATACATATAAGATGTCATTATTTTCTAGTTTTTTTTAAATTTTGAATTTGAGTATTCTTAATTTTGATTTTTGTGGCAGCAAGAGCTGTCTAACTCACCTCTTCTTCTCTAGAGCTTTAAAAGCCCCCAAAGAATGTAAAACATTGTAATATAATTTATTCCGTCGGTGTGTACAGGTCATACGATTCGTAACAAAGTAATTGTAAAAAGCTCATTATATTAACATTGTTAATAATAAAGTTATTAATAACGTAATTTGGAATTAAGATTTGCATAATGTCTTTATATATTAGGTTGTTCAAATAGTTCTGTGCTCCCTGACTCCAAAAGTTTGCTTTGAGAGAGGACACAGAATTATTTGATCAACTTAATAGTAATAGTACTGGAACATTATACTACATATGATAACTTGAATTTTCAAAATTTTGAAAAATAGTCGTATTAAAGAACTTTTCAGTAGTTTGTACCAAATAAAAACTAAAGTTATATAGTGAACTATCATTAACAACAACCCCAATATAAGAACCTCAATCCCGGATCAATAACCGATCACATATGTCGAAAGATACGACAATCATAAAGTAAACTTGAGATACCACAATGTAAAATAATGCACATTTGAGTATGAAAAACGTGTCGAATATTTTCAAAAAAAACCCAAAATAATAATCAAAGTCCACCTTTGTTAACAACAATATATACATGTAGATGGACATTGAGGAAAACTAAAATTTTGGGAGTTTTACAGTGTAAATCTTTTCAAATAATGCTGAGCCCCTTACCAAAGCAAATTCTTGCGTTAAAGGGCACAGAATTGTTTGAAAAACCTAGTGTGTTACTACCTTAATGTTTAAAGTATAAAAAATTCATGAAAAATATGATGTGCTTCACTACTTCACTATTGCAAAATACATACAAATAAAAACCTACTTCACATAAATAATATGGAACCAACATCAGTTTCTTATACCGCTTCAAAGCAATATTAACCATGAATAAAGCTGTGAACGAGATCGTTGGAATGGCAGCCATATAAGGACAATTCGAAAGAATGAGATCGAAAAACAGAAATGCCCTAAATTTGAAAAAAAATTAAAATAAAATAAAATTTTTTAAAAATATTATTGAAAATCCAAAAATGACACATTTTTTCTTTTGATTTTTATGAATTAGGTAACAAAATTAGTAAAATTTAAGTTTTTTTGAATTTTTAAACTTTTACTTTTGTTTAAAACCTAATTTTTAGTTAAGTAGTAATTTAGGTATAGATATAAGTTTTTTACTACAGTAAAAATATTTTTGTTACCTAAATTCAAAGAAATGTAGAAAAATCGTAAAAAATTGAATTTTTTTATACGAGACTGATAGGCACTGCCCAAGATTTATTATTTGATAAACTTTAGCTAAGTTTTATTACAAATTAAACCTGAAATAAAGCCCATTAGCTAAATAATGCATTAGGCCCACAAGCCAAGCCGAAGCAAATTTGAAAGGGACCAGGACCCATACTAAGGCCTGACTTGAAAGCTGGACTAAAAAATTTGAACCCGGCGAACTTCCTTTACACTGTTAAGGTTTACAGGTCACCTCTAAACAGCATGTTCACTTACTGTACAACTAGTTCATTGATGTAAAATAATACTCCAAGTCCTTGAAAGTAAAGAAGGTATTTTTCGGCTGGTTTTGTATAACTCTGTAAATTATTATATCATTCAACTATAAGACTAGAAACAGATCAATACGGAGTATAAATTTTAGATAATATCTTTATTAAAACAATATTTTAGAATCGTTCTTTTAAACAAATGTACAAACTTACGTTGCCAATAGATGAAGAATAGTACAATCTCTGTAATTTACATCCTTTTTCCATGTAGATGACTAGTTCGTTTGAGTGAATTGATGACATTTTTAGCTCTTTACATTACCCTTTCAATAGTTTTAAAGTGTGCCAATGAGAATTAACCCACGATTAAAAATAAAGTAGCTGAAATACGGCTCAATTTTGTTCAGATAGATAAAGTACAAACAAATATGCAAAACAACTCAAAATCTATAAGTAAAATACGTCATACCACTCTCTTGCTATTAATTACTTAAAACTGAGAAACTTAAAAAGAAGATGGATAAAGTGACATTAACCTTTGTGAATATGACTCAGAACTAAAGGAAACTCTTGTTTGGGATGACTCATTTAAATTGTCGTACTAGAAAAAAGTAGATAAACAAACACTTTACTGATAAGAAAGTTTACAATAAAAATTTTTAAAAAAAAATTTTTTTTTGAATTTTGAAAGTGTGAACCTGATTTCAATGCCCCCCGTCAAATCGTACCAAATACCACATCATATAAGTACTATTTATTGGCGTAATAATTAAAATGACCATTTCTTTCTACATGTTGTGATTATATTATGATTAGGTGAAGACAGGCTGATATCTCTTAGATATTCGTGTATATCAAGTGGTGTAACATATTATACTATGTTTGATAGTAAACGATGAAACTATTTTTAAGGGTAAATTACAGTGTAAACGTAAATTACACCGTAAGAGTAATTTACAATGTAAAAGTAGGTTACAGAGTAAAAAGAAATTACAGTGTAAAAGTACAGTACAATGTTAAAAAAAACTAAAAAAACATAAGAATGCAATAAGTAAGTTACAGTGTAAAGAGGAAAGTAAAATAAAATTTGACAGTAGCGTGAGAGATCATAGAAACAGACGACAAAGAAGTCAAAGAGAACAAAGTGAGATCGATGTTACCATGTCGGGGTTAAGATGTACAATATTAAGTTATTCAAATAATTCTGCGCCTCCTGACTTCGAAAATTTGCTTGGGCATAGAATTATTTGAACAGCCTAATAATAGGGGTTGTAATGTCAAAATGACAATGTTTTATTAAAATGACGTTATCACAAAATGACATTCGGTCACGATGACATTATGTTTAGCCATAATGAAATACACTGATAAGGACATTCGTCACAATAACATTATTTTCTTCAGACAATAAAGAAAGTTGCTAATTCAGGTCGAATTAGATCTCAGTTTCTTTAGATTCTTGTCTGGCCAACTTCCACTTGGCAAACTTGCTGCACATTTTCTGGAACGTCGAAACTCGAACTGATTGACTTTGACGACGTTTATCACCCAACAAGTCTTCGTACTCATTGGATTTTGTGTTATTTACGTCCATACTGACACTACGACGACGTGATGATACGTCTTCTTCATCGTTGACGTCTGAGCTTTCGTCTGAAGCTGCTAGACACATACGTTCTTCTGGGTCACTGGATTCCTGGAAATGGTGGTATTTATTGTTTTAGGCTTATTTATCGTTACTATTTATACTAGTCGTTTCAAATTGGCTTCGGTCCGACACAACCCGACCCGGGACTAAACTGGACTGGGCCTAGTTGGCCCCCTTTTTCAGCTCTAATATAACCTAATAGACATTTGTCTACTACAATATAAAGAACCAATCCTTACCTGTCCCATTCTCTTTTTGGCCAAGCTTTTCCTCAATGATTTCTCCTTGCCATTGTTACAATTTGAACATGGCTCGATTACCATGCTTTGAGACATGATCGGGGTAGAGATTTTACGTGATCTTACTCGCAGCTGGTTGGTCGATGGCGGATGAACTGATGTGTTCTTGCGTTTTACGTCGGATACCCTGAAAGACAGTAAAATAACTTGTTGTTTTAGCATCAGAAGGCTTTAGATTTCAAATTTACATAAATTTTTTGATTAATTTTTATGTACATGTAAAACTATGAAAAATATATAGACATTGATAGCTAAAGCTCCCTACCAGGAACCCGCACTCATTATCCTCCCCCTCTACCAAAACTCCACATTCGTTATCCTTCCCCCCCATAATAAACGGCCAAAAGTAAAACACTTTGTACGGCGGTGCATAACATCGTACTCAAACATTCATCAAACCCACTGAAATTTCAATTTCGAGGATGAGACGCAAATTAGGGATTCAAAAAACAATTGAGCCGGAGTTGTTTGTGGACAAACTTTAATTCCGGAGAGGCAAGGGTGATTTAACAATTTTTGGGGTGGTTTTGAAGACAAACAGGGAGTAGATATTTTTTTTTCTTTTTTGGTTTTGGTAGCTAAGCAAAAATTTTTGAAAAATCAAAATTTTTTTAATATTTTTTTCAAAATTTTAAATTTAAATTTTTTCAAAAACACAAAAAAAATTTAAAACCTACGAAGTTTTAGAGCGTTTAACGTGATTTCGGTGTGATCGTTCCGAACTCAGCGAATCCTTCCTGACTAGACCGTTGGCCGAAGCTGAACTGTTCAAAGTTGGCGGTGGGGTTATGTTATTGATCGATGTTGGTGTGCTACTGTGCTGGGAGGTAGATCTGAAAGTTTATAGATTTTAAAATAAAATTTTCAAATTACAAGCTTTTATTTTTTTTAAAAACAGGTTTTGAATGTTTAAATGTAAAATACGAAACAATAAATGAGTAAATAACATAAAACATCGTTTCTTGATTTAAAAAAAAGTTTAAAATTGAAGAAATAGTACGTTACTTATCTTCTAAAGACTAAAGACATGTTAATAGACTTGTTTTAGTGCTGGTCTTCTTCTTGGACCCATTAAGGCTTTATGACATTTTTTTTAACATCATTAGCATTATTTTTTCTTTTTTTGTTATTTTAGGTTTTTTAAAGTAACAAAACATTTTTTATTTTATTTCAGACGTATTTTACAAGTAAAACTGTTAAAAAAATTATGTGCTCCTATTAAAAAAATTTTGAAGTTTTAGGACACAGAATTATTCTATCCTATTCTTCCTACATAGCCTTTATTACCTTTCTGTTTACCCCATTGTTCCATCATTTTACAAAATATATCCATACCTTTCTCTGTCCCCGTATCTAACCTTTACCCTTCCTTTTTTAAAAAATGTTAAAACCAAAATCTCTAAAAATAAAGCCCTGCCTAATAAGTACCCAAAACTGACTTCGTTTTCCGTTTTTAGTCGCAAATGCCCTGAAGACAGAAATTTTTTATGTATGAATTTCCTGAGCGGCCAAAAATTTGATCGACATCTGTCATATCGTCATTTATAGAATGGTAATCGTGTTACGGAAATGATTGTTTTAAAACAGATTTTTGGTTCTTCAACCTATTAACATATAAAACAAAGTATAGGCCCTACTTTCACCTTTCTAAAATGCTTGTTTTTATACTTTGTTAATAACATTCCCTACTCTATTACAAATGCAAATGATTGAGTGGTTAATATATGGTAATACATCAGCTGAAGACATTTTAAAATTGTCAAGAATGCTTGAAAATACTAGACATTCTTCTGGTTTTAAAACCCTACCCTACCCTCCTACCTCACTTTCTCTTACCCTACCCTACCCTACCCTAAAATAAAAAGTTTTGACAATGTTGTGTAATATAACCGCTCTCTTCCCCCTATAACCAAGAAAATAGAATGCCGATCAGCGGCCTCGCCATACATAATATGAAGAACACTGCACGATAAAGCAATTCATTCGGAGGCTCCAAGGCCATCTGGAGCCGAAGAAAGGATAACAGAATCCTATTTTGTTAATTTGGTTTTGGAGTGTCGACGCTTTCTACCCAAACCCACCAAAATTAAAGTAAAAAGGGGCAAAAAAGTAAGGAAAATTTCTTAAAAATCAGAAAAAAAAGTTTTAAAAAAAGTTTAAAAAATAAAAAAAAAAAAATTTTTAAAAAACCCCTTCCGCTCCCTCCAAAAGAAAAAAAATTTCGTAAAAAGTTGAACTTGGTCCCCCCCCTGTGAATTTTTGAAAAAAATTTTTTTTGACCCCCGCCCCCAGACCAAAAGTCCGGTCCTGCATGTAACAAAGTCTCAAATATTATCAAAAAATCAAGTTTTCTTTAAAAAAAGTACTTACCGTTTTCTTTGTGACTTTGTCATGCCATCGATTGACTGTGAGACAGAAGAATCGTTTGAACGTTGGCGAGAGTGAACAGAAGAACAGTAGCTGGCATCCATATCACTGCCCATCGAGCGCTTTTTCTTTGGCGCATTCATTCGCTTATTCACTGCTGATGCGTATATCAACGCCATGTTTTACTGCGCGGTAATGTAAATTGCTTTAGTTAATTAAGACTTTTAATGTAGGTATTGGGGTTGTGTCTGAAAGTAAAATCTTTATAAATTAGAAAGAGTAGTATTGCAAAAATGGTAAGTCACGAAATACTATAGCATATTACATAGTAACAAAATTATATAAACAAAGTAAAGTCAATATAAACATCGCGTTTTGTTAAAAAATCATGAAATGAAGTTTATTTTCGCATGAATAACAACTTTGTAATACTTGGTAGTAAGTAATAGTTTTCCAGAGGAAATACTTCCGGGTCTCAAATGTCAGACATCAGCATATTACAATTATTATGATTGCAAATTCATATTTTGTTTTTGGCCGGAACGGGCTTAGGATTATTAGTCATCAAAACAAGTTAAAATACTAGATTTCTTGAATTCTAGCGAGGCAGGTATAAAAAGAGGAAGATATAAAGAAGGGTAAGGGTAAGACAATAGAAAGGTGATTGTTAATAAAGATATGATAAGACAATAAGAAAAAAGAATTAATAATGCGTGAAAGAAAAAGAAGAAAAAGAAAAAAATAGCACAAAAAAGAAGAAAAAAGAATAATAAAAAGAACACATAGAAGAAGAAAAAAATAATGAAAAGAACAAGAAAAGGAAGAAAAAGAAGAAAAAAAGAACAAAAACAAGAAGAACAAGAAGAAAAATAAGAAGAAGAAAGAGAAAAAGAACAACTAGAAGAATAAGAAGCAGAATAATAAGAAAAAGAACAACAAAAACAAGATAAATATAGAGAGAAGGTCTCTTTACTAATGGCCTAGAAAATTTGTTTTAAAAAAATTGTAGTCCCCCCCCCCCTTATTATTAAAAAGTTTTTTTTTCTCTACCCCAGCCCAATTAAGAAATTTAAATTCCTTGCCTCGCCTAGCTTAAAAAATATGTTTTGTACCTCTTCAGATTCAGATCTGCCCTTCCTTCAAACCCTAAAAATCCTCCTTATTTAACCTTATTTTTAAACCTTTCTCCCTTCCCTCCAATCTTAAAGATCAGACTGACTTCTTTAAACACCCTCCATTACCGTCATTTGCCATAATCCCCAAAGTCCATGTGACGTTCAAAAAAAACGGCGGGATTTGCCGTATTTTCGTTCGGCTAGCCGTTCGTTTTTGGCATTTACAAAACTCTCGAGTTTTTTGAGTTTAATCTCGAGAGAGTAATCAACAGCCCCTCCCTCATTCAGACCGAAAACAATAAAAACCTAAAAAAATATTGTGCTCCAATTTGCTCGCATCACCAGCCAAATTTGCATTTCGATTTTGGCGTTGGAAATTTAGAGGGAAGGGACGTTTTTCGAAAGTTTCAGTTTGTTTTAAAAAAATAGAAGTACTATATAAGTAGTTATGATGTTTTTAGGGCCTTTAGTGCTAGAACTTTGAGTACAATAAAAGTTTTTTTTCATAAAATCATAATTGGTGTGACCTCACAATATTAAACATGTCATGAAAGGTTCATTTAAAAGCCCTACTTTAATGTTGTTGGGTCATAAAAATGTCATAAAATCAGTTTAAAACTATTTTTTCTAGATATTTTAGATTCCAGCTCTAATAGCTTACTAAAAGTTCAAAACTTTACGTTTCTACTTTATTTTGTTTTGTCTGGCTCTAAAATTAAAAGGAACGTTGATTTTAAAATAAAGCCCTTCCATTTATATACCCCGACCCGTACCCCGCCTCTAAAAAATAATCAAAGAACGTTAGTCATGTCCCTACTATACCCCCACGTCTCACCAGACCCAAAACTGTAATTATATTACAGAATAACACAAAATAAACTCATTAAAAATAAAGTTCACAGTGATACGAATTTACCTTCCCTTTCCTCGTGCTAAAAATAAGAACGGCTGTTATTTATCACGGTGACAATCGATGATACGACTGATTAAAGATAAACAACAGCAAGGAAGTCTTTTCGACCGATACGCACTTTACTTTTACTTATCAATCTTAACAGCAGTCAAACGTACTTATCGTGTTTCAGGTAATAGACATATAGTGTTTTAAGAAAGTAGTTGTTTTGAGTACTAGACCTATAATATTTTAATAAAGTAAAGTAAAATACGTTCATGAAAGCAGTTATTTGATAAAAAGTAAGCAAAATCGCAGTAAAATTCCTGTATAACGCTCTTTTTCTAATCAAAATTAACTCGAAATTTGTTGTACAGAAGTTATACTGTAACATAGATAAGTGTACTAATAGTACCAAAAAATAGTATTGCTTTGTTCTACCAAAATAAAATATACAAACTAAACAAACCAAATGCAGTAAATATCATCATAGTAACATAATACTGTAACCCCATTCAAAAAAATGTCTTCAAAAGCCGACTTTACTGAAGAGTGCATTTTGAAGCTACAACAACATAAAACAAAGTCCTTGGCCGTACAACAAAATAAACAAATAAAGACAAGTAATGTATGTATTGAAAAACAGATGCAAAGTAACTCAAGTACAAGTTATGTGCTTGAAATTCTTAGAAAATTTAAAAATTCGTAGAAATTCAACTTTATTTTGGAAATCTCAGATTAATCACGGTAAAATGAATTTATCATAAACAAAGATTTTTAAACTTTTTCAAACTGTAAATGTAAAAAACAAACTTTTACTATGAATAACATGAACTATAACATCATTTTTTGAGTCTCAATCACAATTATAAGCCTTTTATTAAGGCCGCTTTCTAGTATAACATAACTTACTGTAGAAGACAGTAAGGAGATATCAAACAAAACATGTACTGACAATTGATGTAGAAACAAGAGTTGCATGATAATTTTTAATGGCTTTTAATATCCGATTCAGTACTTGAGCTGTACTGACAATTTCTCAAACATCTTCAGCACGCTACTCAAAGAAGAATAAAGACGAAAGACGATGTCAAAGGTCAAACGTTATGAATATTAGAATAGTTCCCCATTAACAATGTAAAAAGTTTGCCTCGCCTTGCCTTGCCTTGCCTTGCCTTGCCTTGCCTTGCCTTGCCTTGCCTTGCCTTGCCTTGCCTTGCCTTGCCTTGCCTTGCCTTGCCTTGCCTTGCCTTGCCTTGCCTTGCCTGACCTTGCCTTGCCTTGCCTTGCCTTGCCTTGCCTTGCCTCGCCTTGCCTTGTCTTGTCTGGACTTGCCTTGCCTTTACTACAACATGAACTTACCTCATTTTACCTGTCTTACTCTATCTTAACCTATCCTACTCTCTATTAAGTTAACATTATCTTAACCATGAATACCCAACAATAGCTCATACTCTATACTTTGTGTTACTCTACTCAACCTACAAACACTTGAACACACTCAACACCTCTCATTACCTATTACAATTTGCAATTACTGTCGCAGTGAACTTAGCAGAATACTCGAAACAAAGCGAACGTCACCCACTGTGACTTTGCATTCCGCGAGCACGATGTTTAGTCGACCGTTCCAAAGTGTCATTTAAAAACAAAGTAAAAGTTTTCGTGCTAAGATGTTTGACCAAACAAGCCTAATCCCTTTGATAAACGACCGTTTCCGAATGACTTTCATGAGGCTTTGATCTGAAACATGTGTTCTTCTGCTAAACACCTTATGGTTATGGGTTGTCTAAGGGAGAGAAAGGGTAAATAATGACATTCCTCAATGTCTGGAGGTTCAATTAAAGTGCTGGTGGTCATTTCGTAGATGATTAGACGTTAAAGTGTTGTTGACAATATTTTTTTTGTTGAGATACCGCCAAGTTTAAGATACAAACACATCGTTGTACAGGACCTCCCCTGCATGCACTACTATAATATCAAAAAACCAACTAGAGAAAATGAATACTGTACCCAAATCCCTTCTTCAACTACACTTACATCGAACATACCCTATCCTTATATAGGTCAAAAACAAAAAACAATTACCATAATGTCGAAGAAGCAACAACAATGAATAATTGTAAAACGTCTCACCAAAACAAAAATTTTTAATTCAATTAAGAACGGCCAAAACACAATAACAGAAAAGTATTTTGGAGGCAATTAGGGAACGGTAATTACAGGCAATAATTTCAAATTTTTAAAAATTTTAAGAAAAAATATGAAAAAACTAAAAAAATAATGTTTTAAGTAACAAAAATTTATTTTTTAACTTTTTTAAAATTAAAATTTAATTTTTTTATATTTAATTGCGTTCTCCACCCTACTGTATGCTATCGTACCCTGACGTACCCTACTTTGCCCTAACTGTTCTACGATATCCAACCCTACCTTTATATTGGATTATTCAAGTAATTCTGTGCTCCCTTTTAAAGAAAATTTAAACAAAAAGGCACAGAATTATTTGAACACCTTGACATGTTGTAAATAAAAATTAGTTAAAAATACAGTATTTTATACTTAAAAATTAGGCCATACCAACAGTAAATTTTAAAAAAAAATTAAAAAATAGCACCATTAATATAATTTTATAATATATATAACACATAAGAGCAAAAGTAACTTCAACCCAAAAATTATCCCTCAATCTTACTGCCCATCACCCGAAGCCCACTAGAAGGAAGTCCTCGCTTGCCTAGACCAATGAAATCCCTCTCTCCTCGATCTTTCTCTGTTTTTTTCTTTCGAAAAGGCTTTTGAGCCGAGCATGATCAGTCAATTAACGGAAATAAAAAAGTTCAAATGTCAGCCAAGACAAGGACATTAATCCGGGCCCTGAAGACATTTGATTGGAGACACAAAAACCGGTCGAAGAATGTGTTTGTGGTGTGATAAGGCTTTGGATTGATAAGTGGGGTGCTGACAAAACCAAGGACATCGGAACGCCATTGTTATAGTGTTTGGGAGGGATAGGACAAATTTTTGGATTTATTGGTTGAGGTAAACAATATCTGAGGAATGATGGTTAGGTACAGTAAATTAAGGAAGTATAGGAGTAAAAATGACAAAAAAAAAATTAAAAAATAGTTATTTGAAACACGTTGAGCCAGGTTTTAAGCCCAGACTAGAA